GCTGTGTGCAGTTTGGAAAAATACACTGGAGAAGAAAAATTGTGGCTGTTGAAAAGTCATTGCATAGGCAATTGGTCCAGGCAAGAGACGGTGATGGTTAGGAGGAGTGAGATAGAAGTGCATAGATTTGGGAAATATTTAGGAAGTGTAATGCTGACATGAACTGGGTTCCAAGTGTAAGATATAGTGGCTTAACTAAGCAGGGGGCAGCAGAGCTAGAGAGAAGGGCACCAACTCAACAGTCTCCCATAAGTCTACTTTTCTTTTCAACCATCCTTCACAGGACATGGCTTGGAGCTATCCCCATGAGATCGTTCCCTGGACATTTGTATATGTTCCTCCGAAAAGCCAAAAAGCCAGCCTGAGCAGGGTGTCTGGTCAAAACACCATCTCCCTTTTTCTCAACATTATCTTTCCGTTGGACATGTCTGAGATTGTATAATCCTATTTAGGTAACCATGACAACTGTTGACTCCTATTGAGATGGCAATCGATTGAAACCTCTAAGTCAGAGATTGGAAACATGAATGTTCAAAGGAGCCAGGCAGGGAAATATGAGAAGCAGTTGGTGGGGTATAATAGGGAGGGATGGGAATTGTGGTAAACTATAGAATGCTGGGCCAATCAAATACTATTTAACTTCAAATCTTTAAGAAGCCTCTTGCGCATTTAAAAATGTGATCCGCAGGCCGTATTTAGCCTGTAGGTCACCAATTTGCTGCCTCCAGAGATGGTTTTATGTTAATTCTCTGTTCAGCTAGATCTCTCGCATCAGTAATCCTAAAGCTGATTCCCTCCCACCCACAAGCTTTAACTTATTTTTATTTTTCCTTTTTTTCCAACACTCACCCTATATAAAAGCAAGCTTTAAGTTAAAACTTAATCACTAGCATTCAATTGGCTCTTGGCCAAATAGTAGACTGTTTTGCATCTTCTTGCTATCTGGTTGCATACTAACCGCGCCTAGCAACTTGCAAACCCTCTGCAAACTTGGTAAGCTGAGATTCTGGATTTTGATTCCAAGTCCGGGCATGGTAAACACACAGAGAAGGGCAGGACAGTGACATTAGTGACTTGGAATCATTATTAAATGGAATCTTTTTGAAAATGAATGAGTTTCCTGAAGAGTCCTCACCAATCAGAGTTAGTGATCACCCCAGATTTGCCAGGATGTGGGAGACCCTTGCATGTGGGGGAATAGGATTTGGGGTTTTTTTCACTTGGCTCAAGCAAATCCCCTAGCCGGAGCTTTTGCCCTTTAGAGAGAAGAAGGTGTCACTTTACAGATCACTCAGGAGAACTGTGTCATGGGGAAGTGTGTACAAGGTGCCTAGAGACAGGATGTTTTTCCGGAAAGATCTCCTTCCCAAGGGAGTGAACTCACTAGAAGTCAGCGAAGGCACCAGCTAGAGCAAAATGTCTTTGAAGACGCAAGAGGCTTTCAAGTAAATCATGTCTTTTTTTCATTTGCTTTTTGTGTTGGCTGCTGCCCCAGGTTAGTATTTTTAACTGTGGACTCATGTATCTTTGAAATAATTATTTGGTAGTCTACCACTTGGTTTGCTTTTACTCGTTTTAGTAACTTCTCAGTGTTGGTCTTTGAAGTCGTCGAGTAGTGTGTGTCTGTATCACATTGGAAAGCTGACATTTCCATCAAAATGTCCTCTCAGATGCAGTTGATGTGAGTGGGAATCAGAGCAAGTTCGCTGGAGGGCAATTTGGCAATAGCTACCAGTATCTGGAATCTTCAGTCTCAGAGCCAGCATGCCACCCTTGGAAACTATCCTACAGACATACACAATGATATAAAGACATATGTAGCTTTATTTGTAATAGCAAAAACTAGGGCCGGGCATAGTGGCTCACTCCTGTAATCCCAGCACTTTGGGAGG